CAAAAGATGTTAGTTACTTTTGTTCTTTCATTTACAAACCAACTATTGACTGCCTAGTCTGTGTCATGCACTGTGCCAAGCCCCTTAAATATCAGTGAATAAATCAATGATTACTTACCGTCATAAGGTTTAAATTCCATTTGGGAAGAAGATTTTAATCTCCATCTAAACAGTAATAATGACTAATATTCACTTTCAAAAAAATGTCAATTGACCTTTACAGCACATTTGTGAGGAAGATAGGGCTCATGCCATGATCCCCAATCTATAGGCAAATATGTTTACAGAGACTAAATGGTTTTCCCAAGTCTGATAACTTTGGCAAAACCAGGAAGAAAGAACTCACTATTCTTGATTCCAAATCCAGTGTTTTTCCAAGCTGCCTTGAGGCCTTGAAAATTTTGCTGTATGTTGGAAGTATACTTCGTAATTAGAAGTGTAGTTAAGTTGTTGACCAGAGGAGAAAAGCAAGAAAGGAAAACAGATATCCTGTACTTCTGGGATTGCATTTAAAGTAGATCCCCATATACGTAAGTCAGTTTTTTTTAGGTCCTTTCCCTGTTCAGAGTCCTTCTCCTTGTCATCTTAGCCTTCAGATTCAAGTCCAAATTTTTTAATATACATTCAAGGCAGTTTGGATACCAGGCCCCTTGACTTAGGCTGTGCTGTGCTATTTTTAACAAGGATGGCAACTAAGTATCAAAGACCTGTCCTCAGTGCGTTCCATAATTTCTCACTAATTCTTTCACTAAGCCTGGAAGACAGGTATTATTGCCATTATTTTACAAATGAGCCATGTAGCTAAGGAATTGGAGGTCCAGGATTAGAGCACAAGTCTGACTCTTCAGACTTTGCTGCTTTCGTTGTCTAGTGCTGCTGTAACTTGAACACTCTTAAGTTCTCAGCTTCGTGTCTGTGTTTTCCTTATCCCCTTGGCTTAGAATTTCCTTCCCCCCTCTTATTTATCCTTTAAACTCAGATCAACTGTTTAGGGCCATTGGAGAGCTTTCTTGAAGCCCCTGCCCCACTGCCCCATCCCCAATTCAGTTAGATGATGTTCTTTTACATCCTCAACACCTTGTACTCTAGACTTTTTTACACTCCTTGAACTGAATTATAATGACTGCTTTAGTCCCCTTGCTTGTCAAGCCAACAGTGAGCTCCTTGAGGACAGGGCCCTTAACCCTATTACCTCTGCACACCCAGCACCATATACTGTTTGTTCCTGTTGCACAATAAGCAAATCTACTTATTTGTTAAGCTGAATTAGAGCTACTTGGATACCAACAGCATTTTAATTTAGCAGAGTTCTAAATCAAATAATGATATGATCAGATCCTGCATGTAGGTTCTTGGAAATCAGGACTCTTAAGGGAGAACTGAATCCTGCTTTTTCCTTTCTTTTCTTTTTTTTTTTTTAAAGATTTTATTTATTTATTTATTTGTCAGAGAGAGAGCACAAGCAGGGGGAGTGGCAGGCAGAGGGAGAAGCAGACTCCCTGCTGAGCAAGGAGCCCGATGCAGGACTTGATCCCAGGACTCTGGATCATGACCTGAGCTGAAGGCAGAAGCTTAACTGACTGAGCCACCCAGGCGTCCCATGAATCCTGCTTTTTCTTAAGTACTTTATAGGGAGGTCTTTAGTATTACTATTAATATCAGAATATCAAAATTGTTCGAAGGGTTAGAGGCTAGAGGAGTTTTGCTCTGTTTAGCATTGTGTAAAAATATTCTGAGAGTTCTCAGTTAATCTTCTTCTGGCTCAGCCAGAGAAAGCAACCAAGTCCTCTTTCTTTGTGTGGCCTCCTCTCTAGGATTTACGAGTCTAATTCTTGGACAAGGTCTCAAAGTTAGTGCTGAGTACACTATCTTTTACTATAGCCACCTTAGGATAAACCAGGGAGAACTCTGAGCTGCAGGGGAGATCTATTACCACCATAACTCTTGGCTCATCCTGCAGCTTTCTTTCTGGCTTTAGTAGAAAAACTGAAATTATGAAACTTTGTATCTTGCACCATGATCCCACATGAGATTCATGAATCTTCAGCTCCATACAGAAAACCTGGTTCTCTGACTACAACTGCCCACTAGACAAATTACTATCAACGACCCCATTATTTCTGATTAGTAAAGGTGAACCTCACCTTACCTGAATGTAAATAAATGCCAGTAAGGTTCTTGAATTCCTTCATCCTTAAAAATCTACAGCTCTTAACACACACTGTAAATAGCATCATATCATGAATTAAATCTTTATCATGAAATTGGATACATTTCCTAAGCTAATTTTAATTGCTTCAAGAAATTGCTTAACATTGTAGATCAATCCCCAGGTCTGAGATGACATTTCCCTCACAGAATTAATTATTAATACCCTGATCATTTGCTTAAGACATTAATAGTTTTCATTGATCAGCACATCCTGTTTATCTAAAATGGCCTAATCACCATGCATGTCAGAAAAGTATCTGAACATATCCAATTAGAAATGCTGCCTACTTTCAGCCACATCAGCAGATCAGAAGTTAAGAGTCCCTTTTGTCTTCACAACATATTAGTCTAGCTTTATCAGAAACTGAGCTATTTAATAGCACAAAAGAAAGATGAGTTCTCTAATGATGGTTCTTCACCTTTATTAGCTTCCTGGTAGGCGTAAAGGCTTCTCAGTGACCACACAGTATAAATTAATGCTAAGAGCCCTTGATTAATGAGCTTGTGTTATTCCATGTTTTCATGTGAGCCTGTGTTCCGTCACAGTGTTTTCCTTATAAGTAGGAGTGAGATGAGAAACCCCAGGTTATTATCAGGATAAAAATATTGGATGTACAGTAATAATATCTAGCATTTGTATGGCACTGTATAGTTTTTTTTGTTGTTGTTTTGTTTTTTTTAAAAGATTTTATTTATTTGACAGAGAGACACAGCGAGAGAGGGAACACAAGCAGCGGGAGTGGGAGAGGGAGAAGCAGGCTTTCCGCGGGAGCAGGGAGCCTGATGCGGGGCTTGATCCCAGGACCCTGGGATCATGACCTGAGCCAAAAGCAGACGCTTAACGACTGAGCCACCCAGGCGCCCCATGGCACTGTATAGTTTTAAAAGAGGTTTCATTTACTTAACAAGAAGGTATCCTTGAAACAATCTTAAGAAGGAGGGAGGATCAGGTAAATACCCAGTACCCTGCAACTAGTTATAGCCAGAATTGTAAAGAGAATTTGAGTCTCCCAGTTTCCTAGCTTTAAGTCTCCCAGTTTCCTAGCTTTCTCCTTTGACTAAGTGATAAATAGGTGGCATCCTGCTCATCTTTCAAATGCAGTGGGAACTCTTCTCCTTTATGACATCTCCCAGGCCAGAAAGTCTCTTCCTTCCTTCACAATGGCATATTGTATTGCAGTTTTATGAAGTGTGGGTAACTGCCCCTATAGGAGTAGGAGATCCTTTAGGCTAGACCTGGTTGTCTGCGTTTTGGCAGGTCCAGTGCCTCACCTAGTGTCTGGAAAGCAAAAGGTGCCCCATCTATGCATGAATACATGGCTTGCTGGCAGTATGGAGGGAGAAGGGGTGGGTAGATGAAAGCAAGTGCAGTCCTAGTTCTGTTTTACTAACGTCATGGTGCAGACCTTTGGCACCTGACGTTAATTTGACATTGTTTGGTTCATATATTGTTTAAGAAAATATTTTGAACTGATTTCCAATATTTAAAACTTGGTAGGTTTTCAAAAATACAATAATATTTAAAAACTTTCTTTGAAAAGTTGTAGGTTGTCTTGCAACCCTGGGTCTGTGCCCCCTATGTTAGCCATCAGCTTGAGCTAAGGAGCACCCACCCGCTTCAGACAGGACATTGATTGTGTTCTCCAGAGTGACCCGTTTGTCCGCCTACTTCACTCATTCACTTGCTTTGTAGCCTTTGGAATACAGACCCTTTCTTTACTACAAAGATCTCCTATTTTATTTATTTTTTTTAAAGATTTTATTTATTTATTTGAGAGAGAGAATGAGATAGAGAGAGCATGAGAGGGGGGAGGGTCAGAGGGCGAAGCAGGCTCCCCGCTGAGCAAGCGGGGAGCCCAATGCGGGACTCGATCCCGGGACTCCAGGATCATGACCTGAGCTGAAGGCAGTGGCTTAACCAACTGAGCCACCCAGGCGCCCAAAGTTCTCCTATTTTAAAGATTTCTGGATAATGGAAGAATTACTGTTTGTTTGTTTGTTTGTTTTTAATTTTATTTATTTATTTGACAGAGAGAGAGAGAGAGACAGCGAGAAGCGGGAACACAAGCAGGGGGAGTGGGAGAGGGAGAAGCAGGCTTCCCGCGGAGCAGGGAGCCCGATGTGGGGCTCGATCCCAGGACCCTGGGATCATGACCTGAGCCGAAGGCAGACACTTAACGACTGAGCCACCCAGGCGCCCGAAAAATTACTGTTTTTAATCATGTTCTGTATTTGTCCAAAAGAACCTAGTAGTCAGCTACTCATAGATAGTAAGATTTCTCCCAGTAGGCACTGGAGCTGCACATTTTATTGGATTCTAGAGATGAAACACAGAGTAAGGAAAAAATGTTTAAATTGATAGAGTAGTTATAATTTTACCACATGTAACTTCATTCTAAAACTTGGGATTTTTTCCATGTTGACGTTTTGGGTGTATTATTAATTGGAAAATAAATAAGAACAGGGACTGGAGACTAAAGGATTGGGTAGGACCTTATTAAAAAAAAAAATCTATTCCCCTGCCTTTGGTTTATATCTAATCAGAGCTGTTCTTTCTTTCACTCAGTAGCCACAGGGACACATCAGTTCCATTCCCTGCCCAAGTATTATTTGGAAGGAAAGGAAAGGCAGCTTCTTTGCTTCATATTCATAATTTAACATACTTTTCTCTTCTTTAATAGCACTTTTCCACAAGTGAGTTTTATTTGTATTCAGGTAAAAACAAATTTGCAGAGGCCACAAGGAGAAGTATCTGCAAATCTCATTGTAATGTCTCTTCTTTCCCACAGATTAAAGGTTGAACAAAACTTAAAAGAAGCAGCAGTTCTATTCACTTGTTCTTGGACTTGAAACTCCTTTGACCTCGGAAACTGAAGATGAGGTTGCCATGGGAACTGCTGGTACTGCAGTCATTCATGTTGTGCCTTGCAGGTAGAGTGTCATTTAAAAACTTTTTGATTTAAAAATGCCACTGTATTTCACACTAATTCAAAAGTGGGCCTTCACTTTAGATGGCAATGATAAAATCGAAAGAGTGCACATTACTACGACTAGCATTTGCTGACACTGTTAAATATACTTTCCTGATGGTCTTTTAGTGGCTCTTTTCATGGTACTGTATCCAAAGCTAGACATTGATGTTTCACCTGCCTAACCAGTCCTTTTAGAGTTCTTTGAGCCATTATTTAGTTTGAAAGTTGTTTTTTTTGCTCATCCCACTGCTCAATTGCACAAAGATATTGGGCAATAAAACCGATAATATAGTCTTGAGTATCACCTACTTTGATGTCAGCGGATGGAAGTTTATTTGGGTAGCTCTTTCAATATCTTTGTTAATATTGCTCCATCTTTTGATAGTAAGTCTCTTTCTTTTACATTTTGATACACCTATAGTTAGCAGAAGACAGTAACTAAAAAGACAAGAGTTTTTTTACCATATACCAATGGTCAACTAGTAGACAAGGGCTTTGAAAAGTTCAGACACGCTGTTTATTACTTTCTCAGTTTTCTGGAAGATATGAGCCTAGCAGTTGACGTACATAATGCAAATGTTGATGCAACTTAAGCCAACATGTGCTGAGAGTTGGTTTTCAGGTTGGGATGGTGGGCATCTTTCCAGGCCTTTTTGAAGTAAGTCTAGTTGACCTGCTTTGTTATTCAGAGTATTGAGTCCAAGAGGGACACCTGGAATATATTTGCATTTTTATAAAATAAAATAAAAATGACTTTCAGGTCACCATTACTTTGATTCATGACTTCATTCAAATAATGTTACTGAGTACCTTGCAAAGAACCAGGTTTGTGCTAGTATCTGGGAATATGATCCTGAGCAGGACAGACAAAATTACTGCTCCCTTAAAGCTCTATTTGCTGAGTTCTATAGCTATATAAATTGAAAGCTTGATAGAACAGATTATTTCTAATTGTTATGCAATTAAAGGTAGCAGTGGTAATCCTAACATATACAGGTCACTTATTCCATGCCAGGCACTATGTTAAGCTCTTGTACTTTAGCTCATTTACTTATATCATGACCACTAAGAAGTCGGTATTAACTATTTATTTTTATTTGCAACATTATTATTATTAATGTCATTACTGAAGCATCAAGAAGTTAAGAAACTTACCCACAGTCACCAAACCAGTAAGTGATGAAACTGTTAAGTTTTAGACTCAAGCAGACTAACTCCAGAATCCATAGTTTTGACCATTATAATAGGGTCCTTTAGCTATATTGTTGATTTGTCCAGTTCATGCTTACAAATTTATTCTTGAAATTTTGGTTTTCATTCTTACTCTGTTCTTCTAAATGCAAACCGTCATCCACTCATAAGCTTTATAATGCCCTACCTTTAAATTCTGAACCTCTTGCCTTCATGAACATCCTCACCATTCCCTGATTATGGACATTTTGGCATCTAGACACCTGTTTTAGCTTTATCACTTTTCTCCTTCATCTGGTCAGAGCCTAAATCTTGTCATTACCCACCCTGCCCCCAGAAATGTACATTAGGCTTTGTGCCTCAGTTGCTTTCTCCAGTCTTTACATGTACCTTGACCCTCCTAAAAAGGCATCAACTGAGTCAGTCTGGTTCTACCTTCTCATATTCTGGGATGAACATATTCTTTAAAGCTTGAAGCAGTGAATTGATTTCTCAGTATTTGACTACAGCAATGTGCTTATTTATTTAACCCAGTGTGCTAAATGTCAAGAAATTAAAGAGTTGAAAATCAAGGAAGACATTAATCTTCTCAGTTGTATTTTGAAAAACTTGGAATTCTCAGTGAAGATGAGTACTGTATCTTTTTTTATTGTTAGCTTTTTGTAGGGAATCAGTCAGTATATTGATTGCTTTGGTGAGCCTTTTTTGTGAAGTGTTTCACATGGCATTAATATTCCCTTACCATATGCCTCCTTCAGTGTAGGTAAAGTCGAGCTTTAATTAATGTTTTTGTTTTCTTGCTGTTTGTCTTGATTTCATTAATTTATATAGCACTCAGCACTCTGAATTTTGAACAGATTTCTTTAACTGCTTTAGCTTCTCATTTTTTTTCCTTTCATATACTTTCTTAGTCGTAGATTTCATGGTAAATTTTTGGCAAGGAAAATATTTGTGTCCCTTATGTTTACCATAATCAGTGGATCTCAAATGGGCCTTTTCCTAAATAAGATAGAAGATCCAAATGTATAAGCAGACTGCTCCTGCAAGATATAGATCTTGAAAGATCTGCTAATTATTTAAGGGTATTGGTTAGTAATTTATGGTACAATGGAAATATTCTTTTCTTTTGCCAAATACTAGACTTAATCTCTGACAAAAAAAAAAAAAAAAAAAAGGAGTAGTCTGAAAATCCAGTCTCTACAAAATTGGTTTTATTATCCTGCCTCTTAGTGAATTTAAACCAGGGATCACAAAACTCTGCTACCTGAACGAACAAGGAAGCTAACAAATGAGTGAAACATTCTTCAAGGAATAGTGACTCCTCCATACAATATAGGATGCTGGTGATTGTGGAAAACTGGAGAAAACACGTCCCACTAAATTAGCAACCAGTGCCCAGCTCTAGTCCTTTGTGCTAGGTCTTCCAGTTCTTCAACACTTTTATGCATAAACCTCCTAATTTTTTTTTAACATTGCCAACCAATTCAAATTAATTTTAAAAATGAAAATAAAAAGGCTGCACAAAACAGACCAAAATGGTCTTCAGGCTAGAGATGCAGTTCCTGGTCTGCTGGTTTACAAAGTTTATTTCAAGTGCTTGGTTTTTCTTTGTTATTATACACATCGCCAATACACTAAATGTTGGGGGGTCTCTGTACTAAGTCTTCCTTTTGCCAAGAATTTTCTTCCACTAAATGTCCCTGTCACTTACCCTCTAACCTTATTTGGATCAGTGCTTAAATGCCACTTAATTGGTTTTTCTTGACAATAATAAACAAATTAATATTAGTGAAAATAGCAATATTTTCTTTCACCAACATTCTGTACCCCTCTTATTTTATTTTTCTCTAGGTTTCTTATCAAATATGAATAACTATATATTTTATTTGTCTTTATACTAAATGCCTTTACCCATTAAATTGAAGCTTTATTCAGGCAGGTATTTTTTAGATCACTGCTATATCCCCAGCATCTTCAAAATGCCTAGTGAACAATGCCATACAATAATTAAATAAATATATTTCAAATGAGTGCATGCTGCATACTGGCCAGATAGGAGAGAGAGAGAGAGAGAACAGTCTTCAATTTTAAGGTGGATTATGAACCCAAGGCCGACTATAGTCACCTTTGTGTTAAGGGAGGGAAGTAGCCACCTCTGAAGCTAATCCATACAAATTTTTATTTTACACACACACATACATACATATATATAGGTAAATAAGTATATATTTAAACATATATATGTAAATAGGTATATATTTATATTTAAACATATAAAATAGGTATATATATTTAAACCTAATATATGTATATATGAATATATATACATATGTGTATATAATGTATATGTATAAAGTATAATGAAGTATAATATATAAAGTATAATGAAAATATATACATATATTAGGTTTAAATAGGTAAAGTATGAGGATTGGTTTATGTGCCTTAAACTCTGTATGAGAGGTTCTTGGTATAACACCACTTTGCCCCTTTCTTACTTCAGCTACTGCTGGGTGCGTTGTGCCCCCTGTGTGTTTTTCTGCCTCCAGTATTTGTCTAAAGTTACAAGCAAGGGGAGCTATGAGAAGGTCACTCTCCTCTGCTACATTCCTTGACCAGTGAGGTATGAGGAGAAGTAGTAAATACCACAGCCTCCTGTCATTTAGGAGGACAGTTATTAGGCACATTCTACACAGTTCCTTACAGATCCCCAGAAAAGATGAATCTCAGTTGCCCAGAGTAGTTCACCCCTGCTTCCTAGGATCATCTCCCAAATAAACTAGCTGTTTCCAAATCCTTCCCTCACACTCTGCTTTTGGGGGAATCCAAATCAAAAATATATACACACCAATTAATAGTAGAGCAGCCACCTAGTATTAGTCATGTCAGTAATTAGGAAGAAGCCAGACAGAAAACATAGTTTTGACAGAGATGATTGACGTGCTATGATGTATATCCATATAGGTATATGTATGCAGTTACTTATATGAGTGCATGTACACGTGCCTTTATATGGGTACATGTTGAGTGTTATCTAGGTCCTGCAACCAGATAATATTTTACTATTAACCAACTCTTTCATTGTTTTTACTGTTTACTAATTGCATGATTAGCCAGATACTGGGCAAGTCATAATTACCCCTCTGGGATTCACTTTACACCTCTGTACAATGAAGCTATTAAACAGATTGTTCCTAAAGTCCTTTTTCAACTCAGAAATTTTTGGCTTTAGCTATACACATGGTTTGAGATATATATATATATATATTTTTTTTTTTTTTTCTGAGAATGTTGAGCTAAGCTTAAAATTTTGTTCAACTAATATGAAGTTTTACGTAGATCCTATGCCTTACCATGTGTTACTGATTCTGTTCACATTGGCAGAATTTGAAAGAAAGAGTAAAGTGGCTGGTCCATATGTTCATATGCAGCAAGAGGCGTGAAGACATTTGAATACCCTCTGTGAATGAGTGAAAAAAGTGTATGTTTTGCTGTATTCTCAGTTGATCTTGGTTTTCAGGGAGGCTAAATTTATTCCCATCTCTGTGGTGCAGTTTACCAACTTCAGCAATTATCTCTTTTTGAGAAAGTGCATCCTTTCCAAATGCAAGCATTTTGTTGACTTGTTCACAAAATACATGCCATTGTTACAGCTGCATCTGGGGGTAGACAGAGGAGTAAAGGTCCTGTATAATTCAAGAGAGACATATTCTAGGATTGGTGAGTGTGCACAAAATGTGGAGCAAGGAAGGGCCCCGGGTTAAACAG